AAGTGCTCGATGTAGCGCAGAGACAGCCGGTCCTGTAGGGATGACATCACATCCTGGAGGAGAGGAAACTGGGGGTCAGAGCCTCAGAGGAAGAAATGTCTCGGGGGGGGGGGGAGTGGAGGCACCTCATGGCTCTGGTCACCCCAGGGGGCGTGGAGACTCATGTTTTGAGCGTCCTCCTGATAATACCGGGGTCTGATGGCCAATGCCTGCCAGTCACCTGGGCAGGCTCCCCATCTAGGTTCAAGTCCCTGTCCACAGAAAGCTCAGTCACATGCGGTGTCCCCTACAAAGCACCGGAGGTGACCAGACCCGTGCGTAAGAAAGGAAGAACTTGTTACTCATCAGCACAAAGCCCACCTCGAGCTCTTTTCCCCTGGAGCGCTATGCTTTTATATGCAGAGTCGCAAAAACCTACTGCCCTGGCCAGTCAATTAGTGAGAGAGACTGCGGAGACGTTGTTAAGGTCTGTGTGAGCGCAGTGTCGTAGCGCAGGGCTCGTGCTGCATTCCCGGAGCAAGCCTGGGGCGGGCCAGCGAGGACAGGGCACCATCCCGGAGCCCCAGAACCAACACCTGGGCCGATCCGTCCCAGGGGCTGCGGACTCTGCAGGAGCTCAGGCCAGTGAGCCTGTGATCTGTTAACCGCGCCCTTCCCCATTTAGAAAAAGACACCAAAGCTAAAACTGAACACCGAAAAAAATGCCCCAAAATACCGCTAAAAGAAAAATAAAGCATACCACTCCGAATCTCTCGGCTTTTGGACACTTCATTTTGTGCGCGTCAGCACTTGGCTTGCCAAATGGAGGAGTGTGCCTGGACCTCCGGGATACGCTGTCACTTAGAATTCTCTAGTAAATCATGATTCATTATACATAATGAACTAATTTAACAACTTTTATTATATGCTGCTGTCATCTGCAGCTCAATTGCCAAATGTTTTGTTTGCAAAAATAATCTCTTGGGGATTTTTATCATTGGTATTAATTGGGGTAAGATCTGACTTAAAGGGTTTCAGGTTTCCTGGAAGTCCAGGCTGTTGAGTGTTTCTCTCTGGGGTCTGGGGTTCTTTTAGGGGGCTGCAGCCTGCCTTTCTCCCACAGAACATCTCTGAGGCCCGCGAATCGGTGTGTGCGCCACTGTCGGCGCGCGTGGCCTCTATCCAGCAGGAGTGATCAGCCGGGCGCAGCCGACCTGTCAGCCTCGCAGAGCCGCAGAGAGCGATCAGCTGTCAGGGGCAGACGGCCGAGCAAAGAGGAGCTTTGAAGAAATGCCTGGCTACACAGCCTCTCCAACCATCTCCATTTCTAAGCCTGAGAGCAGGAGGCACGTCTTTACGCAAGGGGTTGTGGGAGCGTGGAACACGCGACCCAGCCATGTCGTTGAAGCCAATACCCTGGCTTCTCCCAAGAAACCGCTGGATGAGATCGTCGGTGAGCTAGACAGGCTAGATGTAGCCGTTCTTGTGGTCTTAAACACGTCAGAGAGGAGGTGTTCAGGTGCTGTGCTGGGAATCAGCTGTCAGGATCCTGACTGCAGGGGAACCGGCAAGGGGGCCTGCCAGGAACAGACACTGCCAGCTGTTCTGCCAGCGGTGCTAAAGACAAGGCAAGCCCTCTGGGAACTCCTGTACCCCTGATACACCCTGCCTCCCTCCCACTGCCTCGGCCCCTACCTCGAATTCACCCTGCCTCCCTCCCGCTGCCTCGGCCCCTACCTCGAATTCACACTGCCTCCCTCCCGCTGCCTCGGCCCCTACCTCGAATTCACACTGCCTCCCTCCCGCTGCCTCGGCCCCTACCTCGAATTCACCCTGCCTCCCTCTTGCTGCCTCAGCCCGTACCCCTAATTCACACTGCCTCCCTCCCACTGCCTCAGCCCATACCCCTAATTCACCCTGCCTCCCTCCCACTGCCTCAGCTCCTACCTCGAATTCACCCTGCCTCCCTCCCGCTGCCTCAGCCCGTACCCCTAATTCACACTGCCTCCCTCCCACTGCCTCAGTTCCTACCTCAAATTCACACTGCCTCCCTCGTAGTCCATCAGCTCTAAGCAAAGCACCAACATTCTTTCTGACATCATGGCTTTCAGGCCTAATGAAGTCCCACACTGCCTCCCTCCTGCTCCCGGAGACCAGGACTAATGCAACTCCAAATTGTTTTAATCACTTATGGCCTAACATGATCTTATATAAGTGGCTTGCATTAAACATTTATCGATTTTTATTTAACTTAAGTACATCTAATTAGACCATTTAATTAGACCAGCGTTAGGGAGCCCCCTGCCCCCGCCAGCGCTGGCCCAATCAGCTTTACAAGCTGATCTGTATCTTTACGGCATGAGGCTTTGTCCATGTGCTGCCAAGTTTAACACCATGAAAAGGCTTGATTTTTCTTTCTGGTGAAATATTTCCCGAGACAGCTTTCGAAAGTGACATCGGTCTCTGTTTATAATGTTTCCCTTTGGCCTGTAGTACCCTCTTTGTGGGTCCCCCAGAGAATCCCCGGAGTTTAACACCAGCCACGCTCTCCCACGAGGGCCTCCTATGTGTGTCCCCCTTATTGCCTGCTCGTGCTCCACCCCTGATCTCCGTTTCCCAGGCCAGTCCGGATCCCCCCCTCCTCCTCGTGCCCCCCCTACCCTGACGGTGGTCCTGCTGTCGAAGGTGAAGGACTTGATCTGCCCGTTCTCCAGGAACACCTTGAGCACGTTGGGGATGAGCAGCAGGGTGTCGTCCTTCAGCATGGTCTGGGAACAGGCATAGGGCCGCCGGTCAGCAGGCAGGGAGAAGAGAAGATTGACTTTGTGAAAGCAGAGAGAACCTCAGAAAGAAAAGCTTTCGCACTCGTTTTGATCAATTTCACTGGACGTCCCCTCGCCCCCTCCCCACCTTCTCCCAGATAAGAACTGCCCGGCTCACTGCAAAGGCTCCTGTAGGGGGCGCTGTGAGGGTGATGAAGAGCATGCAGACATGCTCCTGGGACCCATCCACCCACCAGGACCCCGCTTTTGGTGCGCGACAAGCTCCACGAGAAGTCGCAGAGGGGGGCGCTGTTTTGCTGTGCGCCAGGAGAGCCCTGGCTGACCTGTCTCACTTCTAACCTTGGGGTCACTGAGCCCACTGAGCTCCATCACCTGGGGAGCCCCAGTACAGTCAGGCAGGGACATGGCCCAGGCCTGGAACGAGAGGAAGGAATATTCAGGGGAGTGTCAAGTAGGACATCCATCCAGCCATTTTCTACCCTCTTGCTCCACTTCAGGGTCTAGGGGGAGCCTACCCAGGCAAGCAACAGCTATATGGCAGGATACACCCTGGATGGGACACCGGTCCATTGCAGAGCAGACAGACACAAACACACACACTCACACCAGGGCCTGTTTCCCCAGAAGCCACTTAACCCCCCCCCAGTATGTCTTTAGACTAGGAGAAAACCGAAGCACCCTGAGAAAACGCACACGAACAGGGGAGACCATGCAAACTCCACACAGATAGTATCCCAGGAACTGAACCCAGGACCCCAGCACTGCTAACCACTGTGTCACCGTGCTGGGAGGGGCACTAGATGCTGGGAAGACTGGACTAAATTGTGAGAGTTAATGAATCCATTTTTTTGCAGAGGTTTTTTGGGGGGGACTTGCGATTTTCATTGCCTCCTTCCAGATCTGCCACTGTAAGGAAAGTGAAAAGATGTAAAGGAACTCGGAAGAAAGTTTAAAGAAAGGATGACATGATAAAATAATGGGATGGATGGGGGTGGAGAAGAACATTTCTGCAAAAAAGCATGGAGTCTGGAGCTGAGGAAGAACAAGAGCAGAGAAGCTCTTTCCATCAGGACCGGGGGCGCTACTGCCTCAGAACCCCGTCCGGACCTGGACTCTGCTAGCAGGCAGCCCTGAGTGCGGCCCGGTTCTACTGCAACCTGCTGCAGCTCTGCTACTCTATGATCAAAGACTACATAGCGTTATTTTGTTTTAAACTTAATTGCCAAGTTTAATATATATTCAGGGTGAGTTCAGGCAGAAGCGGTATCACAAGTCATGCATAATTAAATATTGCATGGATAACTTCTTACAATAAAAAAGTAACTCAAGGTCATTTTATGCTTGCTCATGAAAACCCTCTTTAAAGTAAACTATGTGACAGGGTTAGAAGGGAGCTGTCTTGCCTGTTTGCTCTTCCTGTTGCAGGGAACCCTGGGGCCCTTCTGTGAGAGGAGAGCTCTGCTCTGTGTCCTACAGTGGCGGTGCTTGGGATGGGGGTCATGGGAGAGTTTAAATTTAAAAACTGACACAGCTGCTTTCAGAGGTAAATACCAGAATATCAACCTATGCAAATAAAGTGGATCAAGTGGTTTGCTATTTCTAAACAGAAAGATTTTATGGTACAAAAAAAAATGTTCTTACACCGTGCAAAACAATCTGGTTTAGTGCAGCGCACTCTCAGTGTCGACCATGTAGTGCTCTAGTATCTTTTGTACATGTGACTAGGCAGTGATGGCGCTATTAATTGCTGTATTTAGCATTATGGATTGCTGTGCCGAAGCATTTCAGCATTAACAAAAGAGGTTGCAGTAGATGATTGCAGGGAGTCATGGGAGACTGCAGCATTAGGGCAGGCAATTTAAAACCAGATAGGACGGTTTGTTTCAAATTACTGATAAACCACTGGCAGGCTGCGTGTGATAGAGTTAATTCACGCCTGGCCTACTATAGCAATTAGAGGACGCCACAGTGTATTGGAAATTGTGACATATGATCAAATTAACTCACGCAGGAGACAGCCTCATTTTCCTCTATTTCTTCAAGAAAGCTCAGGTGCCATATGACATTTGTGCATTGCATTGAGTTAGCACTGCTGAAATACATACACGTCGGATCTAATAAACTTCCTGCATGTAAGGAACTGCACTGGAGAGCCAGGTGGCCAAGTGGGAGGTTTGGGAAGGTTGTTGTCCTGATTTGTTTCAATCAGACAATTTCTCCTTCAGGGAACAGTGAAGAAAACTTCCACTCTTCCCCCTGTTTACTTCGATTCATCTTCAAGACCATGCCGCAGGTAGAAGAGGCTGTTTAGTTTCTCTAATGGCTTCATTGTCTGATGGGTCCTTATGGAACATCAGACTCACAGTGGATTTGTGTTGCAAGCGGCGCATTTTTTATTAATCCCAAACCTTGTAGTGCTAGAAAATACTCTTCTTGTACTTCTCTTAACATGTTACTTCAAACAACAAAATATCTCAAATGTAAGCTCTTCTTCAGACTTTAAGGTCTGTGGTTCTCTGATGTGTAGGATAAGCCCACTGCACACCAATCTCTGTTGTCATTCACTCTTTGTTTAACCACTATCTCTGCCTTGCAGTGGATTATGGAACAGTCTGAGGCGGATTTCAAATCAAAGAACGACTTCTCCCTGCTGAACATGTGGCTTGTCTTCACTTGGGGAGGAAAAGCGAGCGTTCAGGTGCTGTGACATCAGGCATCAGCGGATCCTGGCCTTTACTGACATCATTTGTTCGGATCTCGCTGCTGCTTCTCGGATCCATGGTTTCAGGGTGAGACCTATAAGGGCTTGGAGGGCTCTCTGATAACACAGTCAAATCCATCGCAGCCAACTGACTCCTTTGATAGGATACCCAGAGGGGGTAACTCTGATGAAGAGGGGTAACTCTAATGAAAGAGGGTAACTCTAATGAAGAGGGGTAACTCTGATGAAAGAGGTTAACTCTGATGACAGTGGGGTAACTCTGATGAAAGGGGGTAACTCTGATGAAAGAGGGTAACTCTGATGAAGAGGGGTAACTGATGAAAGAGGGTAACTCTGATGAAGAGGGGTAACTGATGAAAGAGGGTAACTCTGATGAAGAGGGGTAACTCTGATGAAAGAGGGTAACTCTGATGAAGAGGGATAACTTTGATGAAAGGGGGTAATTCTGATGAAAGGGGGTAACTCTGATGAAGAGGGGTAATTCTGATGAAAGGGGGTAACTCTGACGAAGAGGGGTAACGCTGATGAAGAGGGGTAATGCTGATGAAGAGGGGGTAATTCTGATGAAAGGGGGTAACTCTGATGAAGAGGGGTAACTCTGATGAAAGGGCTTGATAAGCGAGGAGAGGAGTTTGGTGTTCAGCTACTGCACTATGTTTTGGAAAAAAAAACCATCATGAAACAAAATGGATTAATAAAAAGACCCTGAGCTAGTAACCCAGGAGTTTAAAAATCTGGAATCTGCTGAAATGTTATTTTTCTCGTTTGAGCCTTACATTCCAAAAACGTCTGTGGAGCAGCACATGCAGAAGGATTCTAGCATAATTACTTCCTGTCAGCGTGTCTACTGTAAAGAGCCTCCTGGTCCCCAGCCTCCTTCGAATGTTAAGGGGGCTTTTGTGACACAGATGCAGTGTCAGAGTGTTAGGTCAGAGAAAAGCTGCTTAAAAGTGTGACGAGAGACACAGATCCCTGTGGGCGGTGTGGCGCTGACCTACCGGATCGGGGTCGCTAACGGAGACCTGCTCAGAGAAACGGACTTTTGGCGGATTGGTCCTAAGCCGGGCTTTCTTGGCAGCGCTGATGAAGGCCGACTTGGGTGACTGGAAGGGAGAGAGAGAGAGAGAGAGAGAGAGTAACACCTTTAAAGTAAAAAGAGTAAAAAGCCCCCCGTCTACTGGCACTCCATTCTGGACAAGGGGAAGAAGGCAACAGACACCGAGAGAAAGCTTCCCTCTCCGATGGTCCAATTTCCCACCACCTTGTAAGCTGAAGAGGACAGCCTGTCAGTCTAGACCAATGCAAGTTCATCCCATTCTGCCTTAATTGTTTGGATTAAAGACTCAGATGAGAGAAAGGGCAGCTTTGCCGTCTAGTGCAGGTGCAAATGGCTGAGTCCTCTCTAGTTACTTTACAGTAATTCTGTAATACTGCACAGCCATTCATGTTACACAACCCCAGTGTGGAGAACAAGCAGATCTGAAATAAACTTTCAAAAGCTTTCTGACTATCCCTTTAATAAATCATTGGATTTGTTTCAGATACAGGGTGCTAATAGTTATATCTGCAGCCGTGTGCAAGAGGCATGGCTGATTGGCATTGATCGGTTTCGGGGGGTGCTGTGGTAATAATGTGGACAGTAATGGAGCTATCTGGGTGTAAGTGCACTGAGGATGAAGCAGCCATTGCATTAACGCACCTCTGGACAAACCATCGATCCCTTCTGTGTCTTTCCCTGCTCCTTAGCCCAGGAGCAAATAGCCTCATCTATGTGTATTTCAAAAACTGGTGGGGCTCACTTCCCCATGGGACCCTTCTACTGCAGACGCTCTCTACTGCTCTGGGGACAGGTGAGTCAGCCTCACCTGTGATAGTGCGGCATGTGTCAGAGCCATGTCCTGCATCACGATCAGCTTTCTGAAATGTACAGATGATTTGACTTGACGGACGCATCAGTCCAGAGCAGCTTGCCTTTGTACAGCTTGGCTTTTTACTGAAGCAAATAGAGTAAAGTACCTACGTAACACTAGCACCCCACCTGCAATCTAAACCATCGATCTTCCAGGCACAACCCCTGACTACTGCCTCACACCTCTTTTCAGGCCCTACGTTGTATTACGTGTGTAGTTCATCAGTTTTATACTTCATATATTTTTGATGCCTACCAAAAAAGGAAACCTGCAGAACAGTGATATGTTAATACTTTCACTTTCAGGGATACAAGTAGAGGTGAATACAAGTCAATCTTGTATTCACCTCCACTATACAGCACTTAAGTTTCATGCAAGCGGATTTAGCATTTCCACTACCCTGATAGTATTTCTGTTAACACTTCCACCTGAAATATGGACTGTGTGACTACGACACACATGCACAAGTGACACCGCACTGTTCTAGATATTTACAGGTTTGGGCCACTTGACTTGTAAATGGAATGATTTTTCGCTAGGGCTCGTGGTCTGGTGGTCAGTGTGGGTTCAGGTACCTGGCACTGTACTGGTCAGTATGGTCAGGTGTGCACTCCAGTCAACAGCAGTCGAACCACATTAAAGCCAGATCTCAGACCCTGGCCCAACTGTGCCTGGTGAGTACTGGGATGACAGACCTCCCAGGAGAAACCAGTTAGCTGCCCTAGGTGAAGCTGGGGGACTGGAAGATGGCAATTTACTCACTTCTCCAGCCTGTGTCTATGTAGTGAGTCTGTTGGTAGCTTCTACATGTCACCTTTGTAGGTCCTGGATTAAGGTGTGGATGAAGTCAGACCACCCCTATATCTAAGGACATGTGTAGCCCCTTCAGAAAAGTATATACAAGCAATTTATGATTATTGTGTACCAGTCAGCCATGCTTACCTGGTGAGGCTGTAACACAGTGAGAATGATGGATTCCTTGCAGCTCCTAGGAAGAAAAGACATGGTGTGAGACAAGGGCATCACACTGCCAGACTGGCACAGAGTTCTCTCCCAAACCAGCCCTACACTACCCTCCCGAGATAAGTTGGTAGTGGCCAATTTGGGCAAGTCCATTTCCCCCTGGAAGAGGGGGAGCTCACCATGGCAGACTTAGCTCAGGGTGAACACAGCTGTTTCGGGGGTGAAAATGCATTTCATCGAAACTCCTTCTCAAGCAGCACAAGCAGCTGAACCTACCAATTGTCATGCCCTTATGAAACCTTATTTCACTCCGTTTTTGTCTCTTTTTTACTTGCTAATTCCCAGCAGGGAGGCTGAGTTCAACAGGAATTGAGCACTGTGATGGCCCAGCGCACGACAGGCGGACTCATTAGACAGGGGTCTTTCTCCACCTGCTATAAGACTTGATCCCCTGTGCAGGATCTGCAGCCTTCTCATTCGGCACCAGGCTGTAATTGACACTTCAAGAAACACAACCAACAGGCAGCAGGCGGAGACCCCCCCAGCAAATGACCTGTGTCTCCATGCTGTTTATCCAAAAGTTGTGTTTCACCCAGGGTGACAAGAATCCTCTGGTTGAAAGCCTCCAGGGAGAATGGGACCGTGCATGTGAGGAATATAAATCTTAGCAATGCAATTAGAGTGCCAACCTTTCACCTCACAGTATAAAATATTTCATGCTCTGTCTTCACAGCGCAGTGGAAAATTGCAGTCAATTCATCTACAATTTATACACTTTTTTTTGCTGGCAAATATTTAAACTGTTGAAGCGAAAAAAAAAATATCTGAGCATTGTGACAATTTATTCTTTGCCATTAATGAAATTATACGGAGGCTTGCTGCGCCGGATCGACGGTTTTTGATGATGTTCTAAAGTCCCCAAAATTTTCAGGCATCAACGCAACAGAGGACACTGCAATACATTTTTCAGTTGCAATTCTACACAGCAGAGGCTCCGCCTTGCCCTGTGCCCCGCCCTGTTTCCCACTCCATGCCCCGCCCCTTGCCCCGCCCCCCGGTCACAGTGAAGGATGTTACCTTACAAGGTCTATGACTCTCTCTCGGGACACTTCGCTCACAGGTTCCTCGTTAATGGCAAGGATCTGGTCTCCAGGCAGAAGCTTCCCCTCTGAAGGCCCACCTGAGTCACAGAGTGGGAAGGCAGGGATGGCCCACAGGAGACGTGAGGGACAGAAGGACACAGAGACAGACGCTGCAATGAGGTACAAGGAGACAGGCCTCTGACAGCCCTGTCAGTCCAGACCAATGTTTTGTTGTTCTTTAATTGGAAGAGGAACTTTGTAGAAGATGATCCAAGGAATTCATCCATCCATCCATTTTCTAACCACTTCCTCCTGTTCAGGGTCGTGGAGCAGCAGGAGACTGTCCCAGCAGGCAACGGGAGCAGGCAACAGGCAAGGCAGGGAACATGCTGGACAGGACGCTAGTCCATGGCAGAGCAGACAAATATACACACGCAATCACGCCAGAGCCAATTTTCCCAGAAGCCAATGAACCTATCAGCATGTATTTGGACTGTAGGAGGAACATGGGGAGTATTCATGGGGAGAACATATATATACTCCACGTAGAGAACACCCCAGATCTGGAATTGGAACCCAGGGCACCATTGCACCAAGGCAGCAATGTTAACCACTGTGCCACTGTCCTGCCCCTTTTAATTTATTGGCTTGTAATTAGAGGTTCTACAATTTTCAACAAGGTTCAGGCTCTGCTGCCCATGGTCATTATGAAATAAAACGACACAAAAAAGAGCACATTTCTGAGCAGAGAACTTCTGCCACGAAGCAAGCGACAGCCTTCTGCACTGAAACATGGGGGGTGTTTCTGCATGAAACAAACATGCTCATTAACATGACTGCCCCCCCCCTTCTCTGCCCTCCCCATCCCTCCACCCCTATTGACCCCATCCACCCCTGGCCCTGCCCTACCTGGGGAGACAGAGCGCACAATGACGGGCCGCTCGCTGCCAGCGACGAAGCCGAAACCGTGAGTGGGGTGGCGCAGAATGGAGACCTGTCGAGCTGCGCCTGGAGTCAGGCTGCCACTGTCCATGCCATTGCAACTGTCCTCTAGAACAGCAGGGCTGCAGCACAGGCACAGCAACAGCAGCCAGCAACACAGCAATCAGAGTCAATGTAATAATGGCACCTACACCCTCTCATATCAGACTGAACATGCCTGACTGAACTTAGAAATATAAGCTTGTAACATGTTTTTAGTGCACAAGTAACCATGCTTGTCATCAATCAATTTTTAGCCTTCAAAACCTTCAAACAGCAAAGCAAGGTAAACTATACGGGAGCAGTCAAGATCGTGTGTCGAAGCAGTTAATCATATTCACTAATCAAATCCAATAGCCCCACATCAGGTGTTTCTCTTCATTAGCATCAGTTGCTCCTCCCTTCAAGTACACAAAGCTAAAGGGCTACTTCTTGTACTACTAAACATCAATCTATCAGGATTAAAACACCAAAAATTGCAGTAGAAGATCAGCATCCAATTGCGTCTCCACATAAAGAGGGAAAAACATTGAATGGAAAGAGTAGAAAAAATAAAAAGATCGCAGATTTGTGCACAGCAGTGGATAGATATCAACAATTATAATATTTTGCCAAGAATATTGTAACTGCTTCTATTCTCTTGTGAATAAGATAAGCAGATTGCAGACAGTGAGCATGCACGCTGCAGTCCAGCGCCGTAGCACAGTCTCCAGGGCCAAGAGAGGAAATACCTTCCACAGGCGTCTGTCCGTCCATCTTGCACCTGGGCCATCCCCTGAGCAGAGCGGCGAGGGGGGGCGCTGTCTCACTGCGGGGGGCAGTCTGCCGTTCTGCACTCATTCACCTGGTGGGAGAGGAGGGTGAGAGGTCTGCTGTGATAAAGCAGACCCCCCTGCCCCTGTTCATGCAGATCTTCTCCGGGGTTCAAGGCTTGAAGAGAAACAGAGGCTTCTGACACCGGGCGGACACATGTTGAAGGTCATTCAGAAACCCGGCTCTCCTCCCGCTGCTGGGGCACTGCAGGAGTGAAGGTCTGGGTCCGGTCACTAGCCGACTGTGACTGAGACTCCTCATTGGCATGGGGTGGGACTAAAAGGCCGGGGCTCTCTTGGATGACAGCGACCCCTGCCGCCATTAATAATAATAATTCATAATTAATAATTGCTTACACTAATATAGTGCTTTTCTGGACACTCCACTCAAAGCACTTTACAGGTAGTGGGGATCCCCTCCACCACCACCAGTGTGCAGCCCCCGCCTGGATGATGCGATGGCAGCCATAGTGCACCAGAACGCTCCCCACACGCCAGCTATTTAGTGGGGTGATGCAGCCAGTCCGGAGATGGGGATTATTAGGAGGCCATGATTTGTAAAGGCCAGGGGGAAATTTGGCCAGGACGACGAAGTTACACCCCTAGTCTTTCCGAGAAACGCCCTGGGATTTTTAATGACCACAGAGAGTCGGGACCTTTGTTTTAAGTCTCATCCGAAGGACAGCGCCTTTTTATCCTATAAAGTCCCCGTCGCTATATTGGGGCATTAGGACCCACAGATACCGCAGAGAAAGCTGCCCCTGCTGGCCCCACTAACACCTCTTCCAGCAGCAACCTTAGTTTTTCCCAGGAGTCTCCCATCCAGGTACTGGCCTGCCTTACACAGGCTGAGCTTCAGTGGGCTGCCGGTGGCTGCTGGCATTAAATGATGATTGGCTTGAAGATGGGTGGGTCAAAGGAATGTGCCTGATTTTCCTCATTCTCCCCTCTATGCGGTCACATGGTGTGGTACTACAGACCCTATCAAGAGCATTGGGAAGGCTATGAAACTACAGTACACACCAACATGGTAGAGTATAGCATAAGATCACTAGAGGGTGGTAAGTCAGTCAGAAACTCCCCATACGCCCAGCCAGGCTCTCTAAAAGCCACATCCACAGATGAGCCAGGGTGTTGTGTGCCAGGCACAGTCTCTCAATACTTTTTTCCCAGGCTGGTTGACGATGTGAGGCTGCACGTTGGCACCGAACGCAGCCCCTGAAGAAGAGGCTTGATAAAGGGGAACAGATTGCAAAAACATGCCTTTTTCCCTTGTCCAACTCATCTCATGCTTTCATACAACTATGAAATTGCATTGCAGAAGTATAGAAACACATGAAATACAGCGTGACAGGAGTTCAAGAAGAGGGAGTTCTTCTGTGAGTACCCTATCTGGGGAAGAAAGCCTACGTCAAGCCTATAGTCAAACTTAGGAGCCATGGACAGCTGCCTCAGCTGTATTAAAGATCATCGGTGTGGCACAGTTGGCTCTGACCGGTGATAGAGTGCTTTATATGTATTTAGCAAAGAACACCTTTCACCTAGCGTTGTGAAATGGACTGAGCTAATTAATACTCCCTTTCCCACTTTCCCATTCATCGTGACTGCTTAACCATCCATTACATAACTTTATCTCATACAGGGTCGCAAGGGATCCAGAACCTCTCCCTGCAACAGGCACAAGGCCTGCTTACTCCTTATATTATACATAAATACATCGGGCTGAGAGGCTGAGCATTCCTGCTGATTATTACCTGGGCTGCCTGCCTGCTGGCCTCTGTGAGTGACTACATGTTTCAGAACGAGCTGCTTTCCCTTTTTGGCCCCCGCCCCCCAATACTTTGTGTCAAACGTCCCTTTAAACGTTTTCGGAGTGAGAAACGTTAAGAGGCAGGCACACACAGAGAGATCGGGAGTGAACGCAGAGGCGGTGAGTTTTTTAAAAGCCAGCAGGGACATTTCCACATAAAGTACAAAACCACTCCAGTCCCCCCCCCCCAGCATTAACAGCTGCTCGGATGGAAGCACAGTGGGACGATGAAATACATCCTGCTTCTCGTTCCCAGCGCAAAACTGTTCCTTCACGGTCCCGCAGTGGAAGAATCCAAGAATGAGCGTAGACAGGAGAGCGCGAGACAAGGAAGGGAAGGAGAGGGTGAGCGATGGAGGCAGAGAGAGAAAAGACGGGAGGAGGGGGGGGGGCTGAGAGTGAGAAATGAAAAAGGGAATATTGGCAGATTAAGAGAGAGAGAGAGAAAGTGAGAGGGAGAGAGTCACAGTGCATTCCAGCTACCGTGAGTGTTTGGTTAGCACCATTGTTATGGGTAATAGCAGGTTTGCACCTCCCTGAAGTGCCAATCAGCGTTAAGTGTCACTGATTTCTTCCTGTTGCCAAGCACCGCCGGCAAGGGGAGGGCGAGTGTGAACCGGGGGCGCTGGGGAGGCGGGGGGAGGGGCGGGTCATCCAGCCTGGGAGTCCCGGGCGCGGATCTGTCAGGGGCTGGGTGGACGTGGCTGCGAGATGTCGAGAGACAGAGAGCTCAAGAAATACAGTAAGAGAGGGAGGGAGCTTGCGCCGCTGTTTTCAATCATCCCCGCACAGGCAATAAATGGGTCTTCAAATTCCTCCTGACAAGCTGCCACTCCAGACCCTTCAGCCACTTGGCATTCACAGACCTGCCTGTCAGTTTAAAAGATTAGGGCATTGCTGGGGATAAATAATTCATGCTGCCGCTCCCTGTTATGACATTATGCTGACGAGTCACGCGCCAGAACAGTCGCCACACATCCCCCCCTTGCAGGAGAGCAGCTACTGTGGATGTTTCTCCGATTTCCTCACCGGGCAGGCGCTGATGTCCAGACGCGCACCTAATCTGAGAAGCTGGAGCCCGAGGAGAACGTCACGCGTGACCTGCGGCTTGCTACACGCGTGTCATTGTCCCATAATGCCCTGCACCCAGGAAGAGCCACCGAGGCCAAGAGGTTTATACTTGCAGGGAGTGGTATCGCGCTCGGTCCAGGTAAGGTGAGCATTTTTCAGCGATCTGTGCAGCTCATTAGACACATGACCCCCAGCACCCAGATATGAAGCCGACACAATTCATGAAGCTAAATCCAACTCCCCAAGTGCTTGAGACGTTGAATATTCTCATAACTCCCAGAGCAGATCAATGTCCTGTTCACACTGACTGGGGAGTCACTCCACTTCCCTTTTGGTCCAGTTCAGTTTTCACAGTGGAGGTAGAGAAGATTTGAAGGTTTCTCAGCTGGTGTAGTATGAAGTCTCATGGCCTCCTGCATATGACACAGACCTGCTACACTCCTCTGAGAGTAGCAGTTTATTCATTGCCATGAACCTGGTTATACTCACTGATTCCTTGGAGTGCAATTCGATAAAATATTCCTTCTCAATGAACTGCTAACAAATCCTTTAGGGAATCTCTAAATCCCTGAATCCAAAGTGTGTCTCAGTGTTCACTGCAGTGTATTAGGGTTGATCAGAACTGAAAGTTATGAAGTTATCTTTTTAAGGTTAATTTCCACCACCCAAATAATGATGTTTTCTCTTCACAAAAATGAGGTTAATGTGATAAGAATGTTTTTCCTCTTCCTTTTGCCTGCTTTTTCACACGCCCACACACACACAGACATAAACTCACACAGTTTGTCAGTGGCAGGGAGTTTCATTGTTTATTGATATGCAATCAAGTGGCCTTGAAATGGAAGGACAAAAAAAAAGACATCGTAACTTGTTCAAAAGAAAACACGATTTAAACCAAATGCACCCAGGAGACAATAGGACTGACAAAAGCCAAGCAGCAGGGACAGAAAAACAAGGAGGCCAAAGGGCAAGAGGCCAGGGGTCAGAGTTCTGAGGTCAAAGAGATCAAGAGGTCAGAGGTCGAAGGACAGAGGTAAAGAAATGAGAGGAAACAACAAAACAAACAGGACAGAAATGGAAGAGAGAGGGGAGGAGGGCAACGTGCGTCTCGGCCAGATGAAGGACTGAAAGCCTGGGGCACGAGCTCTGTTGCTAAGCAGACGGGAAATCTGTACAAAGATTTATCTCAAGGGCAGCGGGCTAGCGTCTGGGTCGCCATGGTTACTGCAGCACCGGAAAGACAGACACAGATTGCGCAGGGCTTTCCAGAGCAGTATCCCTGACATCCTAGCGCAGGGCCTCGACCAGAGGAATGCAGACAGAGGAGAGCTAGGTCTTTGCCCTCCAAGCCACTCTCACCTCCTCACTCCACTGTGCAGGACAAGGTCTGACCGTCAAGGTGGCTGGTTATCTGATCATCCTCTCATCCAGCTTATAACCATCCATTTCACAATCACAGGAGAGCCGGAGCCTAACCCAGCAAGACCCTGGAAAGTGCCACCCCATCACACTCATACCACGACACACTCCAGTTTTCCCAGAAGCCAATTCATTGCTTTTCTCTGCCTTCCAAAAAAATTAAAGTACAAAATAAAACTAATGAAATGAATAACGGATCTACTATTTTTACTGTTGTTTTTCACAACTGCCCAACCTAGAGTGGCTTCTTACAATGTTTACAGCAAAAAAAAAGTGTTTTTACACCTTTTTATTCTTTTTTGTACTTTTGTGGTACATATGTGCACGAATTCCTAATGCAAGAAATTGTATATGGCTAATAAAGTAATCTTATCTTATAAGTAACAGGTTTATTAAAATAAAAAAAAAATATGCGTGCTTGCTATAGAGAGGAGGGTTGAAGAATCTGATTGGCCAGAATTTGCTGAATGACAGATATTTAAACCTGTATTTATTTAGCCGGTCGATTTAAACATGTAGCAGGGGACCTACCTGAGCAGCTTTTTAGAGTGATTACTTTATGTGAACGTGTGGTTCATTTTACTCTGGAAATTCACTTTTATTACGAGGTAGGGGCAATCGTTTTTAACTATTTTGGCGTTTTTTTCCTTTTGCGATTGCATTTTGTTCGAGAACCGATAAATTATCGGTGGACATTGGTGCTTCTCTACACTGAAACAGATGTATTTTCCA